GACCATAGAATGATACAAAGAATGAAGGGGTGGTCAAAGGAATGGAATGATGAAGTAAGGAAGGGTAGTGGCAAGAGTCAGCACGCATATAGTCCATAGACAGCGCCCCCGAGGGACGGAAGTCCCGAGTTCCGGTACGGAAGGGTGCGGAACCCTCGGAACTGAAGGTACGAGAGCGGAGAACCGTAACAGTCTATAGACTATATGTGTGCTGACTCTTGTTACTACCCTTCCTTACTTTATCATTCTATTCCTTTGACCACCCCTTTCTTTCTTTGTTCATTCTATAGTCTCTTACCCTTTGTCCATCCCTTCATTCTTTGTACCTTTATCTTTGACCTCTCCTTTCTTTCATTCTTTGTGGCTTATCATTCTTAGTAGTTTATGCTCCCTGAGTACTCTTGTGTAGTTTAGTATATATAGGTGTACAAGATCAGACTGGTCCTGTAGTCTTGATCTTGTCTACTCTAGGTAGTCCTGTACTCTTAGGCTCACTCTATATACTCTACTCTTGTCTCACTCTCTCTCTCTGCCTGTTCTGTGAGTTCCAACTATGTTCTAGTGCTTGCATTCTGTATTTCTGTTGTGTAGGATAGTTGTAGCCTGGGTCCCCTCACTGAGCCTTTGGGTCCCCTCTACACTGTTGCTAACACCTTAGTCTATGTAGTAAGCTGCTGACTACCATTACTGCTCTTTATGGTTCCTAACTCAGATGCCAGACTTGATCACAATTGTCCTTATAGACTGTAAGGTTCCCTTCTATTATCTCATGTAGATATTAAACACAAACATTATTTGCAGACATTCTCCAAATTTGTGTATTAGCACTTTACCAGCAAAGTAGGTAAACTGGCCTGCTAGATGTGCTCCTAACTGAGTTTGACAGATAGGAGACTTTCAATCTGCCTCAAAGTACTCCTAGCTGTAGATGCAGCAATTGGTCTTGGGATTTTTATTTACAACAGTTTGTTTGAAGGCAGTAAGACAATGAATCACTTCTTAATCTCAATCAAAAATAGACTGAAGTGTTCTCAGTTGCGGTCGGCCAGCTTACATCGAATCTGAATTATTGTGGCATTACCAGGGAGCCTCCAACGTGGCTGTCAATCATCTCATGGTGAGAACTAGAGGTCCAAAGATTTGCTACTACTAGGAACTAATGTAATGCAGGACTATTCCTCTAATGTACGGAATACTTTTGCTTTTTCTGGCCCTCTTCAAGGCAGCAGAGTACTGGAGAATGTCATCCGGTTTCAAAGGCTTTCACCTTGTCAAAGTCCTTATTGAAGACCAGGTTCTGTATTATAGCTTGTAAGTGGATTCACTGTACAAAATTTATCAACTCAAGGTGCTGTAGTGTGATATTTTGTGCCATGATGCAGATAGTGGATAGCCGAGTTGTGGATATCAACCCTTTCGTTGCACTTGTTCTGAGTGCAATCGGAATTCCAACGCTTCTCTGCATTCTCGGGAGCCATCTGCTTGTCAATCTCAAGGAAGCAGGCGAGAGAGGAGTGAACGAAGGAACTAATTACAGATCGAGGACCGTCAGCGACATTGAATTTGCCGAAGGTATATCTACATACTACGTCTTCTTGTTTAGACCCTCGCTGAGTCATTTTAGGTGCCCCTGCTGCCGTGGGCTCGAATGAGGAGGGCACGGCCAGCGCGGCAGCGTTTGACGAGGCGTGATTGTTCCCCATCTAAGCCGGACACCATCGAGAAATGTTATTTATTGATTAGATCCCTGGTATTCGTTTGCTCTTCATTGCAAGCCCAATTCTTCAAGCTACTTATTTATTTTGTGGTCTGGCATACTCGCCACTTCCGATGTGCTCCTGTTGTTAAAGATGGCGGAACACATGCCTTCTAGAAGTGTACCAAACTGTGATTTTCATTCGCGTCGTATTCTATCACATTTAGATCATGTCGAAGATTAATCTCGTTCCATCCGAAGTGTCCGAGCACGCTAATACCTAATCCAAGTCCATACATAATACAAGATATGATGCCATCAAATCCGCGTGGCTATGAATCGAAAGTCACGACTTTCTGCGGGGCTTCTCTCCCTCCCTATCGTGTCAAATCCACACGTTAGTTATGTGGAACAGAAAATACTCATCAATCAATCAAAGTAGAACGTACCAGTTCCAAATCCCTTTCCTCATCCTCGAGCCCGACCTCCCCGGGTGTACTAACACTCACATCCAACAACTCATCCTTCTGCATCTCACTCCTATGTATTCGATGTATCTCCGAGTTCAAACCCGGAACACTCGTACTATCCGCACTTCCTTGCGAACGGATATTACTGCGCCAGGTTCCTCGAAGATCGCTTAGCTCAACTGGGTCTGTCCGTCGGCTTAAGCCTGACCCAAATTGTGGTGTGGGTATGGAACGCGAGGAGGGGGTGGCGATAGAGAGGGAGTCGCTTTCGTAACCTCTACCACGGAGAGCTTGTCGAGTATTCAGTCTATTAAAATCATTTCGAAGCCATTATTTTGTCAGTTAGTGTGAATTACTAGTGGTTCTTACGTTGCGAGTAGAGAATTTGCGTAAACTATCCGTTAAATTTGTTAGTGAGGGCTGATCTTAGACAGAAATCTCTGCGAACGCACGTTTCCCAATGCAAAAGTCTACGGCAAGGAAGTAGAACGAGCCGGGGATAGTCTTGAACTAATGTTTAAAGCAAGGTGGTTAGTGGTTTTTTAATCGAGAAATGAGATCCATACCAGAACGACCTCGACAATTGCAACCACGCTTCATAAAGTAACTCAATATCGACAGGAGTTCCTCAGACGAGCAAATCGACGTACGATGTAAGGAGACACCGATTAACCGCATATATCATCAACGTATTAAGCAAGGCATTCGTCCTGCGAGGAAAGTCAACCATGTCAAACACTGCACCACCTAAGCGATCGAACCTGAGTAGCATAACACATACCCTCGGAAACCCGATTTTACACTATGTAAGAAATAACACAGTGAAATTGCAATGAGTACGTCAGGGAAGACAGCAGTAATGGCGAAGGGGAGGGCAGCATTGAGCTATTCGGGATTCAGTAGGAGGAACATTAGATCAAACTATGTAACAACTATCGTTGGTGCGGGATTTACTCACCGTGATGGTCGGTAGCTTGCTGAGTTCTTTTAGAATAAGCCTGTTGGAACCCATCAATTTAGAAATAAAGTTTGTCGAGGTAAATAGGCTGCGGACATTTTGATAACGGTTTCTGAAAATGACAGGCACTGTAAGTCAGGCAACAAAACGACCGAGGAAAACAAACTAACCTAGGCCAAAAGCTAGTCGTCAAATATGTATCAGCACTCAATAAATCATTCGGAATGGTGGCTCAGCATACCAAGATGTGCGAGTACAGTAACCATCTGAAGAGCCAACTTAAGCCATTTAGACAATCAAATGCTGGGAGTTGACTCACAATAAGGATTGACAGCCACCACATGCTGTTGGATACTGCATATAGAATTACTAGGATTCTCATATAGATATCTTGTGCGAAACTCACGGATGTGCACCCTGACTGCAAAGAATCTGACAACAGTTATTTTCAGTTAATCGCTTGAATGAATTTAGACAAGAACACGCACAATTGTACTAACGTCGCGATGAGGACCTGCATACGTATAAACTTAACGAACTGGAAGCATCAAAATGAAGAAAAGCGCACATTACATAGGATTGACACCTGATAGCAAGTGTCAGCTTATTGTCCACACAGATCAAACATTGTGAAATAACTTGCATAGAGAGACCTGCAGATAGGAGAAATTCGATAAGAACACTAGCTAATGGTAACGGAGCTGACTCTTACCAAGTGCCAATTCCAAGAGCCAGCGGATTTGCATATTGGCTAATCTACACAGATAGGCAAGGCGATTCGTGAGGAACTCTAGGGAGAATGACAATTCGCTTACGAGGTAATGATACATCGAATGGCAGACTTTCTGTTCAATCAGCTCACTGGAATAGCAATTTGTTAAAGCGACGCACCGAGAGCGACCTGCAAAGTTTCAAGTGCCCTTGATCACATGTTAAGCCCCTTTCATTCGCGCCCAAGGAATACCGCTCTGCTCACCATATCGTCGCAACCTGATCACAAATTCACTCTGTAAATACCATGTGGCGTTGTAGAAAGAACGCGGGACTCACAAGAAGTTTTAGGGTTGCTCTATCCTTTGGATAATACATATAATACAAATAGCTCTAGAAATTGGAGACCAAATAAGCAATTTTCGTTTGGTAAATATTTATTAGCCCAGCCTAACCTGCAGTGTCGTTATACCGTATAGACTACGCAATAATCAGCATAGAATATGGGCATTTGAGAATGTAAGCCTCACGCCATCGCGATCATCGCCCCTACATAGGCAATGCCTACACAATAGAAATACTTAACAAACTGGCTTGAATAACATTAGAACAACAACGTACCGAATGTCCCGCCGATGTCAAAATTCTCCCCAGCCGGAGCCTGAGACGCCATCGTCGACTTCCCTATACTATACGTGAAGGCGTCGTGGAAGCCAAAAAGCAAGGAGGGACACGGTACACGGCACTGCGGAGAAGGGACTGCGGGTAATAAGAGAGATAAAGAGCGTGACCCAACATGAGGTATGGACGCGGTAACATATACATATAGCACTAGCGATTGCGCGCGTCAGAACTTTACACGATTTGAGCGGCGGTGCGTAGAACAAAGTTCCGAGCCAGAAGAACTCCATTTCATCTGTAGCCCCGCATCAATGCACCCATATGTGTGCATGAGGGATAAACACAGGTAGGCAAACTGGGCCGAGTCGATCCCATATCCTCGGATCACGCGCCTATCTTAATTCAGCGTGCCGAGCAAGTATTATTGCCGTCGGAAGCAAAACTTCCCAGGTTTTCCTTGTGAAGGTCAGCCCGAAGGGACAAATCAGGAGATGCAGGAGTCCTGCAAAAGGAGAATCATTGTACCGGCTTCATCTTTGCCTTTTAGTTGAGGTATCCCCCAACTTGAGGGTCAACGTCCTTGAACTCGTTGCGCGAAATAAGCCATGCGTATCGATAAAAGGAGGCAGTGCCTCGTCAAAAAAGGGTAGATGGCTCGCTCAAATCGGACGAGACCTTCATCAAGAATTGATTCGGCAAAGATGAAATGAGCTGAGCATCCGCTTAATACGGGGAAGTCCGATGTTTGAGCGCATTTATTCTCCCTGCGGCTTGTCATTTAGTGTCCTGTCGCCGGACGTAGTAAGGTCCCCTTTGTCTTTCCACGAGGCTCGATCATCAATTATTTGGTTGAGGGATCGTATGCGCATACTTAGCGATGTCCTTTGATGAGATTGTAAGTGAAGATTAAATTTAGTCTCTGATAATCATGTGTCCATGGCTAGTCCATTAAGCGCCCTGCATGCTCCTGTATGTCTACTCACGGTTTTCCTCAGTCACAACAAATTTCTCTCCCTGCATCAGCCTCCCACTCGGTCATGATGAGCCGTAAAGCTGTTTTCACGCAGTCCGCATCATACACTGGGACGCCTTCCTTGTCAGCTGCGCCAAGTGTCGACTCCACTTGGATGCATCGTACACCTAGAGACTGATCATCGTGTAACGAAAGAGGTCAAAACGCGCCTCGGAGACCGTATGTGGAAAATTTACCGTAAGTTCTCCCACGTCAAGAGGTACCAATCCGCCTTTCAGATGCACAAGGTGCGTGACGAATGCCGAGATGGGGTACGACGTGTACGTGCCTTGGGATGCATAGTGCGTATTCAAAGTCCGGCAGATCGCTCTTTCAGTGCCGGCAAACCGTAAGTTTCATCAGGGTATACAAAAATCCCAGATCTAGACTCACTTGACGTATTCTACCGCCGTGTACCCAGTCGTCTCACGATCATTTCTCGAGTTCACTTCGGTAATGAGTATGCTAGATTGACTAGCTTCCAAATGATAGGCACACTACTCACGTAGGAGGATCTTCGCTTTGATACCCCGAGATCGCGCAATGGCGGAAGCGACGCCTTTCAAAGCCAGGCACGGAATAATGCTTCCGGGTAGACACAGATCTTAATTGGAGATAAAGAGACGCATGGAATGAGAATAAAACGGACCTTGTCCAGAGTGATCCACAGGAATAGACAAGGAGGTCTTTCGTCGCACACTGCGCAAGGAAATCCGGGTTGGGAGAGGGATGTATCTCGTGACCGTACGCGTTGATGTAGTACAAGCCTTGAATTTTGTAAACTCCTTTCAGAAATCATTGGAAATAAGAAGACTTACGCTGAATTCGAGACTCCAGATGAGCTTCATGTCCTTCGCTCTCCTTCGAAAAGACGAGGTTCGGAGTATGGCTTCGTTGCGGAATAGAATTGGACCCGAGCTCTACCTCTCCCAGATCTTCAATGGGCGAAGGAGTGAGCGAAAAGAATGAATTGTCTTCCTGCGCTGGATGCGAAATATTGCACTGGCCAACAATGCATCGGCCATTTTCCTAATTCGTGTGAAAGCAATCGTGAAATATATATTGTGCAGCAAGGGAAAGGGCTCCGTACCAGCTCAACTGCGATGGTAACTGTATGATTGGTTACCAGAACGGGTAAAATATTTGCCTAATAAACTCCGTCATTCATTGAATTTTCTACAAGAGTTCAACCAGAATCACACCTGACTGTTGGTAATTGAGGAGAACAAGAACACAGCAGAAGGCAAGGAACGGAAGAAGATTCGAGCCGCGGCAAGAAAATAGTTGCCGACACTAAAAGAACACATACGCATACCATAAGTTCAGCCAAGCAATTTTCAAAAAACCTTGTTCAAGTAATACGTACCTGCCGTTCCTGAACGAAAAGTTCTTCTGAGCCCGGCGCAAGACCTCACTCTCAAAATAGACCAAAAATCCTAGTAATAGAACTTCAGGACGATAGAATAGGATAGAAGCAAGGTACACGACCTCGTATGACTTCTTTCCTGTCGGGCGGTATACCAGCCCATAGGGAACTCCGTCCCTCAACGATGTCGCGCCATTCGTCACGAGCCTCACGTTCACTCACTTGAGCGGGAAGGCGATATGCCAAAAGGTTGCGTATACGATCTAAAGGAGAGCCTTCCAGCGAAGAAGGTATAAGTCGGACCAGCCGAGACCTCAGATCACCTGGAAAAGTGGCGTTATTAAAGTATGAACGGAACATGTTTGGATTCTTACCAATGGACGGACCACCGAGAACGCGGATAATCTCACTCGACGAACCACCGTCATCCGATACAGGAAGAACGTAGCACGCATCTCCAAATACAGAGCAGATTGAGTTACCTCCAGTGCCACCTGAAATGACTAGAAAGGACGGAGTGCATGAAGTTTCGTGCTTTAATGTACTTGGTGCGATTATTGTGTTTGGCGACGACAGAGCAGTATCAGGAGGAGCAGGAAATCCACGTGGCCGTATCTCCAGTGGCGGTGTATCAGTCTGATGCACTGGAAGGTCGAACACAGAGGAGCCCGGACTGTCGTCAATTTTGGGTGTTGCCAGTGTTGATGATGCAGTAGAGTTTGGTGTGTTCAAGAACGTCGAAGTGACCTTGTCATCAGTGCTTGTGCGAGGCTTCATAGGCATAAAGCAGGTATTTTGCAGACAAGATCCTGAGTTCTGTGGCGATTTCAATGTTGTTCAGTACTCGGCGAGACCATTTAACGCATACGGGGATAACTTTGCGAACATATCAGGCTAAGTCAGACACTTGATTGAGTTGACGCGACTGTACGTGTAAGCACGTGGCATGCGCGTCACTTCATCATGCAGACTCCAGAGCACTTTGCTGCTCAATCACACGCTAATGGCAATGGCCTAAAATCTTAAGTGCACTATCTCAGATACAATATGCTGGACTATGAGCTTTCCATACGCATCTTATTGGCATTACTTGCCATATACTTCTTCCGGAGATCATTCCAGCAAAGGGAGAAAGCAGCACTCCGCTGCGTCGCAGTCCTCGTCCTAGGCGACATTGGACGAAGTCCACGTATGATGTATCACGCTGAGAGTTTTGCGAATGCGCACTTTCAGACGTATTTGGTGGGCTATTCAGGTACGTTCTAAACCATCATCATGGACAAGTAGTCTTCTGACCAGGTGATTTCTTAATACGATAATAAGGCTCGAAACCAATACCCTCGTTGGAGCGATTGAACGTGGAATTTGTCCACCTTGCTGAGACGCCAAGTCTGTTCAAGGGACTCCCATTCCTTCTACTTGCACCTATCAAAATCGTTGTTCAAGTTTGCACGATTCTGAATGCCTTACTACGTGCCATCCCACATCCGCCGGAGTACATTATCGTGCAGGTTTGTAGTAATTTCGCCCAGTTCATCGAACTTATCTCTCATTTATGTATTACTTGAAGCTAGAACCCTCCAAGTATCCCTACTCTCGCGCTAGTGCAGCTTGTCTGCAAACTTCGGGGTAGCAAGCTTATTATTGATTGGCATAACCTTGGATATAGTATCCTAGCACTGAAACTAGGCGAAAAGCATATTCTCGTAAAAATTGCTAAGAAGTAAGTGTTTGTTGATTATCTTTCTATGTGGATATTGATGGATCACATTTTCAGGTTTGAGAAGTTCTTTGGCCGATCAGCGCACATACATCTTTTCGTAACTAAAGTGATGCTGGATCATCTAGCCAAGGAATGGGAGTTGCAGTACGTTTGAAACGTCTTTGTCGTTCGCTATTTATGAATATTCTGCCCAGGGGGACTAAGACTGTCCTACATGACCGACCGCCGTCCTATTTTAAACGTGCTGAAGTCTTCGAGAGTCATGATGTAAATTGTCTTCCTCTCATAACAAGAAAAAAGACAAAATCAACTAACCAACTTTATTTACCTCAGCTTTTCAACAAATTAACACCCTCACTCTCCTCCCACACCCTCACCCAATTCTTCCCAAAATACACCTCTCCACGCTCAACGCCCTTCACTCAACTCTCCACACAGCCACACGCTTCATTCGATCCACTCACATTCGACTCCGAGCTCTCTAATCCATCCTCTCCCGGGTCAACGTTCGCGACTTTACGAGCTGACCGTCCAGCACTTGTCGTAAGCTCAACGTCATGGACGCCCGACGAAGATTTCGGGTTACTCCTCGATGCGTTGACGGAATACGAGAAATGCGCCAGAGAAATAAATTCTTCGGCTGACTCGAAGAAGAAGTTACCGAAGTTATTGGCTATCGTCACTGGCAAAGGTCCTCAAAAAGAATTCTATATGAATGAAGTTATGCGAAGGGAGAGAGAGGAGGGATGGAGGTGGGTGAGGTGTAGGAGTTTGTGGTTGGAGGCGGAGGATTACCCTATTTTACTAGGTATTTTTCTCATTTATTTTATTATGTGCGTGAAATACTGATGATTTTTGGATGTAAAGGCTCTGCAGATCTTGGTGTTTGTCTACACTCGAGTTCCTCGAATTTGGACCTTCCAATGAAAGTAGTTGATATGTTCGGATGTGGACTACCCGTCTGTGCACTCGACTTTCCTTGGTACGTCTCGAACATTCCTCCACTTCTCTCTTTTAAACAAGAAAGTTGGTCTCACGACCTCCTATGCTAGTCTATCCGAACTCGTCAAAAGCGGTCAAAACGGACACACCTTCCGAACTTCCTCTGAACTCACCAACCAACTCGCCGACCTCCTGTTAGGGTTCCCAGATGCCCAGGGCCTCGCGAACTTGCGTGCGTCGTTCACGCGTAGTATGACGTCCTCGACAGGGAGCTCCGAATACAGACATCATGAACATCACCATTCTCATCATTATCAAGATCGCGAGGAGGAAGAGCTGGGATGGTGCTCGTGGAGTGAGAATTGGAACTGCGTGTTGAAGCCTCTTGTTTTGAGTGATGTTGAGAGGGAGGAGACGCAAATGCGTTAACATAGAACTATGTTTAGTACTAATAGCATACACGCTTTTTCTCATGTGTTTATTGAGGATCTATACAATCGACGGGCTTCTTAACCTACAGTACAAGTACAAGCATGGTGATCACGAATAAGCACTGCCACTACGTAGCAGCGGGAGGAGGCGCGAAGACAGTTTGATCGACGACGTTTAATCGACCAAGTTTGCACTCCTTGTCTAGAAGCTCTTTGTACACGCGGAACTGAGCAGGGTCAATTTGCAGCGTCTGGATCGTCAAACGTGAACATCATCAGATCAGACAGTGTTCAGCGTATCTTATCAAGTAGTAAATGGACCTACAACTTCCCATAACTCATTTCTCTCCTCTGTATCCTCAACAACCTCCGCACCTTCTCTTATCCTCGCCTCAAGCTTCTCAACGTCAGCCGCAGGGATAGTCAAGCGTACACGCATTCTCGCGCGTTGCACTGGTAACCTCCCGCCCTGGAGTAACTTAATAGCTCCTAAGACTTGGCTCTTCGCATTCTTAGAGGGATCAACGCTAAACCCGACTTCCGATAGAGCCTTCTCGATGATGCCGAGAGAGTAAGGACGCTGCGTGGATGGATCGACGACGGATTCTGAGACTCGGTGCGCGATGTCCTTGCGGAGATTTGTGAGCTCGTGTTCGCGTTCTTTTTCACCGACTTGGAGGTCTCCATGTTTAAGGATCTACGTCCGTACGTAAGATGAGACTGAAACAACCCGGTAGCGGGAGGGTATGGTGGAACACACACCTCTTTGATGATATCGTCTTCTGAAGCCTTCCCGAAGGCTTTCTTGAGGTCGCCTGCTTTGGCTTGTTCGCCCTTGGAAACGTTCACGAACACGGCGCTGATTTGAAGGACGTCATCGAGGTTCGTTTCTCTATACCAAATTAACAAATAAGATGCATTCCATGAGGATGTCTGTCTCATCAACATGCAAGGAACAGAGATAAGAAGGGAGGACATACACGCCCTTGCGCCATTCTTGTACTTTATTCTTGTAGCATGCCACCTGTCTGCCACGATGAGCACGAGTATATGCGCATGTATGCGCTGAGTTGCATTGTGCGACTCACTTCGAAGCGCTTTCCGCCCTTCTTGAGGCGCACGACGGACACGTTGGTTAATCTAGAGTAGAGTTAGATGCGCATGGATAGCAACGACATTGACGAGCGTACTTGATCTGGTTTGAAGGTTGGTTGATCGGCATTGTGTCGATGTCTGAGTGAGTAGTAAGAGTGAGAGTAGTAAGAGTGAGAGAGTGAGATGAATCGAGTCGAAATATTACAATATTTGATGATCGCATAACTCCGGGCGGCTGTGCATCGCGTCCGCCAGCGTCTGTATGCGCCCGCGGCATCGTCTCTCTCATTCCCTCATCTCATCCTCAACATCTCTCCTCTCACCCGCCTCCTACTCGCCAGCCATGAAGGGTTTCACAAAGGCCATCAAGCGGTCAGCCATCTGCGTAAATCATGCATTGTATGTGCTCATGTTAGGAATGTAGGACGCCGCACATGGTGACCACAAAGGTCGGCATGTCCAAGAGTAAGCTCATACCATCGGCCCTTAAGGAAAACACGCTTAACGACTCGATGCAGAGTCGGCTGATCTGGAGTTCGATGACTACGAACGCAAATTCTCGACTATGGAAGACACAGTGGAGAAACTGCTCAAGGACTGCAAGAAGTTTAACGAGGCTGTCGTCAGTACGTGCACTCCTACCTCACTTGATCGGATCTACTACACCCTGTCCTGGCGATGCTAACCGCTCGAACTATAGACTTGTTCACCGCTGGCCAAGGGTTCTCCCAGCACTTCTGCCAATTATTCCACCCAATGGTCGGGGAGTATGACCTCATCGGCAAGAACCCAGATGCACAAGATACGATTCGCAACGTCGATGGATACCAACAACTCTTCGAGGAATTGCGAATGAGTATCACGCCGGAACTTGAACTCATCGAGTCTCGTATCGTCACACCGGTGAAGGAACTACAGACGATCATGAAGCAGATCCGAAAGAACATTACGAAGCGTAATCATAAGGTGAAATGCTTCATTTTATACCCTGTCTGCGCTGCCGTTTCATTAAGTCTAATTTACTAACTCATATTGTATTGTGATAAATGATTAGCTTGTTGATTACGACCGATTCAATAACTCTTTGACGAAACTACGCGACAAGAAAGAGAAATCACTCAGTGACGAGAAGAACTTGTTCAAGGTGAGCGATAAACGTGCATTTACTTCGCACTCCACTTACAATCGGAGTTATAGCTCGAACAAGACTTCGAGGTAGCGACAAACGAATATGAATACATCAACAACGCCATGAAGCAAGATCTTCCGCGCTTCATGGTGCTCTCCGCCCAATTCGTCGACCCTCTTTACAATTCCTTCTACTACATGCAGTACGTATCCACGAATCTTCCTCCCTTTCTTTGCACCTTCCCGAATCTTACGCCGTTCCAAATGAAAAATTAGATTGAACATCTTCTACATGCTCATGGAGAAAATGTCCACCTTCGCAGACGGGAAATATGACATCCAAATCCCAACAGCCCAAATCTCCGACGACTACGAAAACAGACGTTCAGACGCATGGCAACGCATCGAAGACATGAACATCACGAAACGTATCGTCAGTACAGCCAAGATGATGCAAAATCATCGACAGAACTCGGGCATGTCTTCTGGAACAGGGTCGAGTTTGGGAAGGTCGAACACTGCGATGTCGAGCTCTACTACGAGTTCCGCGGGGTTGGGAGTTGGGGGGAGGACGATGCCGCCTATGGCTAGGACGCCGAGTGCGAGTTCGTATGTTAAGAAGGCTCCTCCTCCACCGCCTTCGCTTGCTTCGTACGCTGCTGCCCCGCCTCCGTACACACCTTCGAGCAATGGTACTGCTGCGGCTGCGGCTGCAGCTGCAGCTACGAAGCGACCTCCACCTCCACCCCCACTTAAACCGAAACCGCGTGTTGAGCCACCGGTGCAATACGTCGTTGCGTTGTATGACTTTACCCCTCAGGTACGTCGAAGACGACAATTTGTCGTCATTTTTATTGAAAATGCTGACACTTGGAATTTAACTTTGATTATTTTTGATTTTGATTATCCTAGGCGGATGGAGACCTAGAGTTCCACGTAGGCGACCGCATCGAGGTCGTCAAACGCACAGCAAGTACCGAAGATTGGTGGACTGGCCGACTGAACGGACGGGAAGGTGTTTTCCCGGGTTCGTCTCTCTCCCTCGCAAAACACATCCATTTAAATTTAACCAAAATATCTGACTGCATTTAGGAAACTACGTACAAGAAGCCTAGCGAACAGTCAAACCGGACTGTACTCTCGTTATTCAACGAAACGATACCATCTTTCTCTCTCCTCTCCTCTCTTCTTTCCAACCCGTCGTCACCTCGGCCGAGTCTCCTTCAAACATTCGAACGGAACACATCCCAGCCAATATTCTTCTTCCCTTCGTCTTCCATAGTACATACATACAGACATACCACCTACTTATTCCCAATTCCACTCTTTCACAACCTTTCTTTTCTTTTTTCTTTTTCCTTTCGTGTTTACTCTCTCCATTCAAATTTCTCCTTTTCCTTCTCCTTCAAGGAGGGTAAGAACCAACGACTTTAAATTTCTACTATTAAGTAAGTAAGTAGGTAGATAGACAACGGCGTTGTCGTCTATCTACCTGAGCGTTATTGTCATTCTAAACTGCGGGGTATATATATATTTATTCGACGATTCAAATCCAACTTAATCTGATTTTTAAGAAAGAAAAAAAGTAAGATCCTCAGCAACCTGAAAAAACTTGAAAGTTCAAAAAACATTTTATTCAAATTTTAACCACAGCGATGTACATTAAGATCGAGTTACATACATACACTATCTACATTAGACACAACACTGGTAATACTAGTACTTCACGAGAGAAAAAGCAGGGAGAAATAAGAGAACAAGATATCAACAAAGTTAGAGTGAGAAACTGAGAGAGAATTTCCACTTTCGAGTCGAGAGTTGAGTAGAATGTGAGGTGTATAGTATCTACCAAGCCAGAAAGGAGTCAGTATCAGGCAAGTGAGAAAAGCATTCCAAGGTCAATGGGTATGAGTTCTGCTGAGACTGAAAGGAGGAAAACAGGACATCTAGTAAAACAGCACAAAAAATATATCACTGATCGATAAAGGAGAAAAAGGAGAAAAATACGTGAAAGAATAAGGAACAAGTGTGTGGATGCAGGACTGCTATTGAAGGAGAAGAGTTCCAAAGTCTGTGGATTGAGAAGGCTATGGTAGCGTCTGGGCTTGCCATTCTGTCTTTGATTGAATGGATGAGGTGAAAAGGGTGTGTGCAGAATGTTCGTCTGGAGCCCAGTGAAACTGAGAATAAGTAAGCTTAAACAACAAACGCATGAAAAAAATAAAGCCAGAGAAATATACAGAGCCCAAGATAAGGAGTGTCCCGGTCAATGGCGAGCCCGACGGACCTAACGACGTCCACGTCTCCTCTCCCCCCTCCTCAAACTCTCAAAAGCCTCCCGATTCTTCCTATACCCCTCCCGATTAACATGATGTATATAATACATCCCACTCCCCCCACTCCAACTAACAGTCCCCGAACGATAAGGACACGCAAAAACATCAAAAATCGCAGAGAGGTCGTCAAAGTTTCGTTCGGTGAGCATTTGATTTCCAGGAGGTGCGAACGGCTTGAGAGAGACTACCGTTGCGCCTTCTTTGAGGTCGAGGAATTTTGGTCGGAGGGAGGCGTTCACTATACGGAAGATTAATATGTTAGAGTTAGAGAGATTGATGAATGGGAAGGTGGGAAAAGAGGACGTACACTCTTCAGAAAAGACGTAATTATTAACAAGCACGACATCCGCCTTACCCATCAACTCATCAACCCTCGGACTCGCAGTCATATCCCCCTGACAAAGCTCGACCTTCCCAATATTAACGCCCCACATCCGACACCTCAATTTCACCTGCTCATGATGCTCATCCGCAATCTTCGCAGTATCTTCGCGCTCTTCAATGCCAAACGCCGTACAGCCGGTTTCTAGAGCAGCCTGGAGCACGACGTTCCCAACGCCAGACCCGAGATCTATAAGCAACGATTCGGAGTTGAGACCAGTTCGTTCGATGATATCGGTGACGAAGGCGGGTGTGAGTTCCCCATATACATTCGAGGAAAACGCTTCGTATTTCCTAAGTAGTCCCATCTTAGGCCCGATACAGCGTTGGTATGCTTCTTCAATTATACGAAGGACTACGCCTTGAGGGATGCCAGATGATGACCATGTATACGGAACCTTCCTAAGAATATTTTCACCCGACGAGTCTTCCTTAAGTTCAAGAATACATTTATTGATTTCCTTTAGCGACTGTGTAAACGTCGGTCCGTCTTTGCGATGTCGAGCTCTTATGAGCGTTTTCATAAGACTTCTGGAAGCAGGCGATCCGCGGGAGGGGGAAGTGAACGGAGGTGGAGTTGCATAATCGGTATCAGATGATATCGTGGTAAGCGTAGATGGTATTGACTCGAGAGAAGGTGCCACGTATGAGAATTGATTAACTGTGACGAAGAGTTCGGCCGGTTCTGGTGTTGCTTTAATGTCCTCGCCATCGTCGGAGTCGACGATACTATGAAGCGCATCTTCCGGAAAAGGTCCGAATAAATACCTGTGTTCAGGTGGTACAAAATCTGTAGAAGGCCTTAGCATAACAATTCATTCATGAAGAACAAGAGCTAAGAATCCCACCTTTTACAAAGGTACGGAGGGTATTCTCGATATCGAGTGTCGGATCGTAATGGTCAATGTCCTTCGGTCGGGCAAGTAAGAATCTGCAATAGAATTATAAGCATGTACCCAACTCGCGTCTTTTCACAAACTTACAATTCTTTCGCACCAGTCATAGGATACTCGAGTTCAACAGTGGGTAAACTCGACAGATCGTAAGAAAGGTCATTCGGGTCATTTGGATTCTTAAAGACTACAAAGGCTCTCAGTACTGATTAAAAGGAAGGAAAATAATACAAGGAAACATACGTGTTTTATATCTCCCCTGCTCAACGAGTTGTCGAACAACAAATTCACTACTCAACAGCTCATCGCCAACATTCCCATCCTCCACCGCCCACGTCACACGCTCCGTCTTCGCTCTCCGCGGTGGAACATACCCATCCGATTCACAAGCAGTCGTAGAACGAGAAGCACTTCCACTCCTCACCATTACAGGAGGCGTGAAGCTCTGATAAGTTCCTTTCTTCGGCGGGAGCGTCAAGTCCGTCAAAGCTCTTTTCTTTCTTCTCTTCACTTTACCACCAGAAGAAGCATCTGCTTTTCTCGATTTTCCAGGGGAAGAACCAGCTCGTTTGGTTCCAGACGACTTCCCACTGAGAGCGGGAGAGGACGCACGCGACGATTCTGCGGACATGGTCGAAATGCTGCTTGAGCGAGTCGACGCCTCCTTTATAACTTTTAAACGCTTAGGGGACGGCTCAGCTATTGAGGCATCTTCGACTGTGCCCGCAGGAAAAACGTTAGGTGGCATGTCCTCGGTTTCCCTAACGCGTCGAACAGGTACGGACGCGTCCGTGACGCAGTTTGCTTCTTGAGACGCGTCAATCGACATCTGTGATGACCTAGGAGATGAAAACGCGTCGCTAAACCTAGGTTTCTTCAGGGGACGCGTATCAGCTTCGTCGAAGGAGGAGGAAGAAGAAAGTGTCGAAAGCGAAGAGCACGTGCTGCTAGCCGATGACAGTGGCGTAGCGCGTTTCGGCGGAGAAGTCGAAGCATCTCGTGGTGGCGAGCGCGCCGGGGGCTTCTGGCTCCTTTGAGGAACCTTCACGACCTTGACCAAGATCTGCGCCGGAGCGGGAGCGCATTGTTTTCCTTTTGTGCTTGTTTTCCAGGAGGAAAGCAATGTCTTTTCGTATTCGGGAATCACCTCCTTGTTCGTACGAGCAAATAGGGACATTTTTGCGCCGACGAATGAACGCGGAGAGGGGAGTTAAGGAGGGTAATACAGCACTTAGGCTGCGGGGTAGTGTGAAAAAGAAAGACAAAGCGACGAGCACGGATAGCTCTGTGTTAGCAGTCACGTGGAATTACATCACATGGTAACTACTGCCCCTTTCAGACTTTCTTACACAGACAGCTCATTATTGTCGCCGTCAATCTGGGCCAATGCCAGCATACCTACGGCCCATTCTTAGGAGATTTGAATAAGGTTTTTGCGTATTGACGGGATGTGCGTATGACAGCAAATTCTATTCTGAAACATGCTTCCCGAATTTCATTTCATTTCGTAATGATCTACGCAGCGAGGCCGAGTAAGCGCTCATCTACTTTGACGCTCATCCATTTTACTGTATTTGCTCGAACCCTCTGAGAGCACAGTTGCACGGTTGATCTACAGACAAATATTACAGTCTCCGAAAGCTTACAGTATATTGATCTTCCGACAGCTTGGGTTCAGTTCTCTTTTTCTACTTGGAGGTGCTGCAAAAATAAAACATTAATGACGTTTGGATTGCATACTGCTTTAGGTACACACCTTTCCAGAATTGAATCCATCTAGGCCGGCAGATACACGCGGTGCGGCAACAAGCGAACTCCAGTCAAGCACCTCATATTGGCTACTGCCCTGTAATTTCTGTGCTTCATGCAGTGCACGAGCAGTGACCATATGTTGATATCCAAGGTCCGTCACGGGCATCGGCGAATTGAATTCCGTGGAAAGTGACCTGACATGTGAGGCATCCTTCAATGCCCCGTCAATAGCGAATCCCTTTGAACCATCGAACAGATCATTCGTCATCTTGTTTGCGTAGTTCAGTGTTATGGGCGAAGGGAACAATTCCTTGATTAAGCCGTGGACTGCAGGTGCTGTAACTCCGGATTTCTCGCCCAGAGTGAGAGCCTCTGCCATAACCTCCATAAATCCAAGAATCATTGAATTTCCAATGAGCTTTAGGGTGGGTGCTATTGAATAATTTAATATTCGGTCCCTTATGAAGGAGAGACGAAAAAATCGCTCACCCTTCTCAAGATTTCCACCGAGGTCGATAACTTTCCGCCCAATAGCAGGTACCAGAATATATGCTACTTCTTTCTTTGAACGATAATCTCCGGACATGACGAGAAGAAGCTGCGCTTTGTCAGCGGCAGCAGGTGCGCCGAATACTGGACAGGTTATGAGGTGGGTATGCGGAAATCCTGATATCATCTCGTCAAGTTCGCCTATAAATTCAGAAAACTATAAGTATGAAATATAGAAAGTCAAGGAGAAGTGAAATACCTGCGAGTGTTGGGTAGCATGTACTAGTCTCGACAAATGTTTTCGGTTTGTCGTGTTGAAAACCCTGCATATAGTCAGTACAATATTGTCAAGAACGACGGAATAGAGTGTCATACTGTCAATGCCTCTTTAAACTGTGAGAACACAGACTTTACAGCCGCGTCGTTTGCAAGATTAGTGAGAACAACATCGCATTCACGCGCTATCTGCATCGCACTGTCCGCAATAGTGACCTTGTCGGGTCCAAGTTCAGCAAGAAGTTTCTCAGATTTCGAGCGAGTCCTGTTGTAGACGAGCAGGGGAGACGCGCCCTTGGGGTGCGAATGACGGTCATTGGCAAGGTTCCGTGCCATGAAGTAGCCCATTGCGCCGAGGCCACAGAATCCGATCCGGACTGGAGGATGCTCGGGTGGAGGAGTCGCGGGGCGCGAATAGGGAATGTTCGGGTTCTCGTTAGGCCTGAGCATGTCACGACGGAGGTTCGAGCTGGAGTCCATGGCGGTGAGGGAACGGAGGAAGGAGTACGAAGAGGGATGAGAATGAGCAATCGATTCAAGCAGAGTGCATACATCGCGAAAAAGTCGCATTCCTTATATGGAATTTTAGACTTTGTAAAGCAAAATAAACATTGTATATGCATTATAAAGCAATATAAGCATTATATATACATTATAAAGTAACTGCAAGGTTTCCAGATGAATTGTAATGTCTAAATAAGACATATTAACACATTACAAGACAATATAAGTACTATGGATAAATATAATCTATAAAACTAATTATACTAACCTTGTATGACAAGCCAAAGTATTATGTTTACATTATATTTCTATTATAATTATAAAAACAGAGTGGTACTTACAATATAATAAAGTAATAACAACTATTGTTTACTTACAATTGTTATAAAATGGTTATTAATGTATACAATTATAAAAACATTCTTTTTGTAAAGTTATAATCTTAATAAATGTATAGCATTAATATACAACTTGATAGCAATCACAAAGCAAGTATGAGACAAGAAAAAAAAGTAATTACAAGATCTTTCTAATGATGTGCCCCTTG